TCGAGCAAGCAAAAACTTATGCATTATGGATAATCTATAAATAATTCTCATATATGTTATATGAAATTTTCTATATTATTTCTATACGGACGTAGTACTTTTAGTAAAAAAAAAAAGAAAAAAAAAGTTAACAAGTGCAATTTTTCGCAAAGCTAACAGGCGCTAAAGCGCTGAAAGTGTTGAACGTGGAATCTCAGGTTTTATCTCGCTCGACGGCATGTGTGCGTTTCTCAGTCGCGCGATGACGTATTGGCGCAGGAATTCCGTACAGCGCAGCGCACGATGCGCTGAAGCGCAGCCGCGGCGACATGCACTATGAAACGGTCCGCGAAAGAAGCGCGGCAGGTAGCACGACGACATTCCAATTAGACGAGCTCGTTTCCCGTCCGCACGCCTCGATTGCGACGACCGCGGCTGCACGATTTCAGCCGCTTCCGCGATCATGCGGGTACGTGCGAGAGCTTCCGGAAGAATGATCTTCTCGATTTTTCTCGATATTCAATGAGTAACGGACAATAAATGAAATACTTGAATGAAAAGTAATAAAACGAGAACGAGAAAAAAGTAATAAAACGATTACAGTGAATCTAGATTAATTGTGACACTTAGCGTAACCTTTTGCTTGGCAAAAAATATTTTTGCATGCCAGATAAATTTCTGATAAATAAGTAAACGATCGAGATGATATATTTTAATGATAGAGAAATAAATAAGAGAGATTTTGAACGCAAAGTGCCGTACATGGCGCGCTCACTTCATTTGTCTATTGAGATCGGTCAGGTCGAGCGCGATGGCGGCGATTTGGCGTGAGGGAATAAATCAGAAATTCCAGTCGAGTCGCGGCGCATTCTTAGAAGAGTCACTCGCAAGAGAAAGAACGCATATTAAGGTCGCAGGCGCGCTCGATTCAGACGGAAACTCGTCGCTTATCGGCGACACGCACGCGGTTCTCGCGATTTAAATGTCGTCGTGACAATCCCGGCAGCGCCGAAGGGTCGCGTCTCGATAAAACGGCCACGCGATCGTCTCGCCCGTAGTACTTAATCCTAGGATTACAAGCTGTAATCGTATGTTTTCGTACACTGCCTTATCTTAGCTGGATATTTTTACATGTAATTCTAGCAAAAGTATACATTTCTCAACAAATTTGCTTTCAGAAGATTGCCAGACGTCATATGATCGTGAAATCAAGATTGCTACCATACATAGCAAAATATAAACATCGAAGCAAGAAAAAGTATGTTAACAATATGAAGCGTTCTTCAAAGATTCCTGATATATAGTCGTACAATTAAATCTTAAAAAATTGTGCAAAGCATCTTGCAGATAATCGCGCGACGACCAATCTGCATGTGGACTAACGAGATGTTGATTCAACGGCAACGCGCGAATCAAACGAATTGGAGCGGTATTTCCGGCCTCTCGCAAATCTTCCGGCGTGCCGAAGGCGTCTCGAACGGGTCTCGTCGCCAAAAGGCTCGACGCGTGAAAGTCGAATCGACCGTGCCGATCCCCGACATACCTGCCTATCCGTTCGAATCGAACGACGTGGGCCCGCATGTCTGGCGCGGCGGAAACACACAGACGGCTTCACTCGACCTCGGTCCTCGTTTCGCACTCCACGTATATATCTCAAGCGAGACACATTCACGTACACGTGTGTGCGTGCGGTCGTGCATGCTCGCGCGAGTGCGTTTGCGATTTAGCCACGAGCGAACAAGCGACGACAAGCATCGCCACGAGGGCCGGGCATCGAAAATAACTCTCTCGTCGTCGGCACACAGCATTACTCTTTGTTCAAATCTCGCTGCAAGCGGTGCGAAACGGTAGAAAAATTTGGCGGATCTAATGCCGGAAGGCCTCATCGAAATCACGAAGGTCCTCGGAATTTAAGAGTGGAAGAAGAAAGAATAGAACTGAGTCTATTCCACGCGCCGATCAGTTCTCGTCGACTAACGTGATAGATGGGAATACGACGGGCTGCGACGGAGCACAGAGAGTTGTACGAACGAAGAAAGAAAGTATTGCCAACTGAGTGAACGTGAGGGTAAGAAAAGGAGTATAGCCGACGATGACGACAACGGCGGCGGATAAGACGGAAGGATGGACGAAGAGAAGACAAGACGGGGGAATATGTGAGATAAGAGAAAGGAAGAAGGACATTGACAGAAAGGTAGACCCCGGCGAAAAAGAGAGGAGTGCGTATGCGATGACGGAGGGGGAGGGGGAGGGGGGAGGGGGGAGAAGTTCGTAGACGACCGATTAGAAGGAGAGAAAAGCCGACGGAGCGGTGAACGCGATGAGGGAGGAGAAGGAGGAAAAAGGAGGAGAAGGAGGAAAAGGAGGAGGAGGAGGAGATAGCGGACGTCGGTGAGGCCGCACGGACGGGGATTT